CTATACAAACGTGTAATAAACACGCGGAGAATTACGTTCTATTAACTATACATGATCATTGTTAATCATGGTTGCGGTTCTATTTACACGATTCACTTACTGAATAAATTCGAAATACATATATTTGAAGTAACAACTAATGCTTCGTACTTTCTATTTTTGTAAATATCCCTGTTGTCCTGACATTTTTAAACATTAATTTTTTTAATATTTTTCCAATGTTTACATTTTGTTTCGTTATTTACGTAGAAAATTATTCTAACAGGGTATATATATATATATATATATATATATGTACCATTATGACAATTGCATAAATATGATTATAACCTTACAATTTCGCAAATACTTTCGATAATAAAATTTATTTAATATTATACATGAAAAAACGGTGTGTTTTAAATAAAATATAATAACGTAGAATACAGTTGGAAAAATAAAAGTTAATATAAGAAATGAACCTATCACGGTTGTGCGAAATGGTACTTCAATCTGATGTCATTGATTTGCACCATTAAAAATTGTGGGATTTAAATGAACCTATTATGAAGTCGGTATTCGGGAGTAAATAGATCGTAAAGAAACCGTAAGACATCTTACGGTCGAGATACTGTAGAATTTATGGTAAACCCATCCAAATTACAAATTTCTTCAAAAATCGCTGGAACAAACACTTGACTTTTGTCCTTAACCTTTAAGAACAATGAACAGGTTCGAATACATTGAAGTACGATTTCATCCAAGTGAAAATCATGTACGACGTGACATCGGTGTACGGTTGTATGATGGTGACAATAAGGTACATAAAATTAATTGGACATTTTAAATGCAACTATACATAACCTTTAATTTGTTGACAGACACACTTTGAAGGTGGTGAATTAGTACTTACAAGTCACAGAATTATTTGGGGAAGACCTGGTGATATATCCCGTGGCCATACATGTCTATCATTACCTCTTCGTTATGTTATTTTTTTTGAAGAAGATGTTCCTAGTCCATTTTCTTTTGGACGTAGTAAGAAAGTTATCGTACATCTCTCAGAAGCTACAAGCAGTATGTTTTGATTATATTAAACATACAATTTTACATCAGGCATTTGATCGAAACATTTTCTCATGATATTTAATTTTTATAGATAAACTACCTGGTCCATTTGACAATAGCGTTCATAATTATATAAAATTATCATTCAAAGAAGGCTTAGATCCTAACTTTATTATGCATTTGTCTGATACTATTTCAAGACAAATGTGGGAAATAATACCCATTATGCCAGCAAATTATTATAATCCTAGTGTGCAAAATAGTGGTGATAGTCCAAAGTCACTTCCACAAATAAAAATCAGAACTGGCATTATAGGAATAGAGAGAAGTCTGCAAGAGCAACAGAAAGCAACAGATGAAAGTATATCAATGGCATTCCAAGATCTCAAGAAGCTTATGCAAATGGCCAAAGACATGGTTTCCATATCAAAAACCATCTCAGCAAAAATACGGGTGATTCTCAACAGTTATTTTATAAAGTTGACATTCATAATCAAAGACAATTGCAGGAGAGGCAAGGAGACATCACGGAGGATGAAACAGTCAGATTTAAATCCTACTTAATGAGTCTTGGTATTGACGACCCTGTAACTCGCGATGCATACAAAAGCAGTAATGAATATTTTAAGGAGCTAGCAAAACAACTGGCTGATATCTTAGAAGAACC